ACCTAGCCAAAAAGCCATGCGTTGACTGTGAAACACACAGTGTTGGGGAGTAACTAGTTACATGTAACGGAATTACGTAATTTAATTACAAAATAAAAGTAATTGTAATCAGTTGCAGTTACTAAGAAAAAATGTGTAATTAAATTACAGTTATTTATGAAAATGTTAAGGATTACAAAGGGGGTTACATCTGATTTTTTTTCCACACTCCCACATACAGATTTAATTGAGTTCTTTCATAAGTTGCAGTGACTGGCAGTGCGTTCCAGGAGCGTTGCGTCTGCAACATTGCAGCGATCATTTCCGCATCGAGTGTAACCAAACACAGCTTTGGACCCAAAAGCAGAACAGAAACGAAAACTGATGCAAATAAAATATATTTATTGCCAAAAATCTAGCAACACAATTCCATCTCTCATTTGCTGTTGAAGATTGTTGGCAGAGGTGAGCTGGAAACTAACCAGGCCAGAGATATGTTGGTAAAGTTTAGTGAATAGTTTGTTGAATGGGCGTGGGCAGGCAGAATACAGGATGAATGCAGGTGGAGTGAGATCACATAATGCCTAGTTCACACTACAGGATTTTAAACCCGATTTAAGCTAGATTTGCACATTAACGAGCTCGAATCTTTGTGTGAGAACTACTCTACGACACATCGCCAATGCCTCGCAGACGCCAAACCAATATCTAGCATGCTAAATGTCTGGACCGGTCGGCCGACTCAACATCACGTGGTGTCAGGTGTCGTGACGAGATACAGCCAATGAGAAATCAAGGCATCGGTTGAGGTCAGCGGAAGAAGAACAGTAGCAGCAACACGGCTTTAAGAAAAGTTTGGACACAAGTAATGGCGAGTTTCTTCCCGATGTTCATTTTCAAATAAACAACTCCTGTTTCACTTGTTGTTTCGTGTCATTCCCTTTAAACTTCTCACGCGTGTTTTCATGACAAAATGTGGTTTGCGGACGGGATAGAGTTGTTGAGTGACAGAGTTGTTGTCAGCTCGTGTAGTGTGTGACCCCCTGTTGCGGATCATTTACATAGTGTCACGTAATGTGAACACCACAACGAATTCAAGACAGACAATCAAGTCATGTAGTCTGAACAGCGATCTGCCGATGTTTTAAGTCGTGTAGTGTGAACTTCGCTTAAGTAGACTGAACAATCTCACAGAGAATGTCTGAAGACCCAGGGTTTAAATACTGAAGGCAGATGAGTTGATTGGCAGCAGGTGATTCACATTCAGCAATCAGCCACAGAGAGGAGTGCATAGCCATGCCCAGGATACACCAGCTCAAAGACACACAGACAAAGGAAAAACACTACTGGCCAAAAAATCCAAATCTCTAAAGCCTTCTATACACTGCACAATTTTCTGCTGTCCCAGACGAAAGATTGGGATTGTGAAAGAATCGTGGCAATTTCTGTGAAAACTGCACATTTTAGAGTGGCCTTTTATTGTGGCCAGCCTAAGGCACACCTGTGCAATAATCATGCTGTCTAATGAGCATCTTGATATGCCACACCTGTGAGGTGGATGGATTATCTTGGCAAAGGAAAAGTGCTCACTAACACAGATTTAGACAGATTTGTGAACAATATTTGAGAGAAATAGGCCTTTTGTGTACATAGAAAAAGTCTTAGATCTTTGAGTTCAGCTCATGAAAAATGGGGGCAAAAACAAAAGTGTTGCATTTATAATTTTGTTCAGTGTATTTCTCTGCTATAAATGTACTTCCTGAGGAGTAACAATATTTACATTGTTATTGTAATCTCTTATGTTTTTTTCTCACCCCTCTCTTATGTACGGTTGTTCATTACAGTGAAATGACAAACATTGAACATTAATACAGCACAGCTGTCGTGTTACCTTACAAATAAATGTGCTAACCATATTCTTCTTATGAAGGCTTGTTAATTTACAAAGGTTTCAATTGATTGAACACTTTATAGCCGAATTGAACTTATGTCATAATAAATTAACTTTACATGAACTGAATCAAGACTGAACGGTCTTTAACTGAACAATGATATTTGGCAGCGGCCAGTGCAAATATAACAGTCTAATGCTAACTTGCACAAACAGCATACCTTGTAGTACATTATAAAACGAGTATGCAGTAATAATATATCGAGTGTAAATATTCATTCATGCCGGACAATAAAGCCCTCCCTTCACCTACCCGATAAACACTTTACTATTAATTACCTGTGAGGCACTTTATTTCCACTTTTTGAAAATTTCATTAATTTTTATTCAAAATAAACACCTTTTTGATCTGCTATACGATGAGCAAAGGAAAAGAACAAGTTTTCCAAAAGGTGGATTCAAACTTGGGTCAATTGCGTCGAAAGTGACTTTCGCATTTTACCCCCTACACCACTGATGCTATTAGTAAACAGGCGTCTTTTGCAATGTTGTTTATCCAACCAGATATTGGTGGGCGGAGTTAATGTAAATAGCTTCTGCCAACAAGACAGGCTATTTGCACTTGGTTTTAGAGCTTCTTTACAGTGGAACTGAATTCTGTTTGCATCATTTAAATATTATTTTCCTGTACAGCTGCTTTGAAACAATCTGTATTGTATGAAGCGCTATAGAAACAAAGGCGACTTAATTTGACTTGATCAGAAATGTGCCGTAGAGATTAAAGTAAAATTTGTAATGATATTGTTTTTAGATTCACAACAATAGTTTGTAGTCTACAGTAACATGTATTTATGTACTTATAAACTGGGCTCAAATTGAGGGGGGATTGCAGGGGGGTGGCATCCCCCTTGTTGAAAAAAATGAGAAAAAGCATCCCCTCTGTAAACCACCATAAAGGGGATGGTGGTTTACAGAGTGTTATGGAAAATGTATCATGCAAATGAAATTATCTGCGTATAATCATTTACGAACTAAATAAAGGCGATTGTAAATTAGAATATAAGTGCTGCGCATAAGCTCAAGCAAGTTTTTGTCATTTTTCGCGCAAAATGGTTCAAGCGCAACTTTTGACAGTCTTTAAAAAGAAGACAACAGTTGGGTATTTTCTTGATTTGAGTTTAAAGACATTCCCTGACATGACATTATTGTGCTGTATATCACATGTGACTGTGAGGGACGGAGAGAGGGATGACATTATCGAGTATATACACTGACTTTGCAAAATACTGACTTCTCAAAATACTTGAGAGTCTAAAGCATTCACTGCATGATTAAGCTAACTGGAATGCACTTAGAATACCCTTATAATAAGTAATAAAAAAAGAAAAAAAAAACTATATTTATTTATTGATTTATTTCATATTTATCACACAAGCAAGAGTACTTTCCTGAATAGCATGCGTGCAGGATCTCAAATGTGCTATTCATTTTATACAATAGTGCAGATCACTGCATTCCTGAATGAATCTATTTTTGAATGAATCTAGTGAGCCAATGATGCAATGATCCATTTATAAAGATAGTCACTTGCTTCATTTCTAATTGCTTCAATTTGAACAAATACTTTGATTTAATGATTCAATTCATCATTTATTAAAACAGGGACTTGCTATGGTTTTATTATCATATTTATTTATCCATGACAGGCTTTAATCAACAAATGTCAATCAAAAAAATAATTCCCTTTCAGGCCCCAGTAATTTGAAAATTACTTTCAAAGCATAGTTAATTTAATAAAGAATAAAACAATGTTTACACAATGATTACAAAATGTATCTAATTTTTAAAGTTAGCTACAGGACCCCCGGCCCCACCAAAGAAACACTTGACCATTTTTCGCGCAAAATGGTTCAAGCGCAACTTTTGACAGTCTTTAAAAAGAAGACAACAGTTGGGTATTTTCTTGATTTGAGTTTAAAGACATTCCCTGACATGACATTATTGTGCTGTATATCACATGTGACTGTGAGGGACGGAGAGAGGGATGACATTATCGAGTATATACACTGACTTTGCAAAATACTGACTTCTCAAAATACTTGAGAGTCTAAAGCATTCACTGCGTGATTAAGCTAACTGGAATGCACTTAGAATACCCTTATAATAAGTAATAAAAAAAGAAAAAAAAAACTGTATATTTATTTATTGATTTATTTAATATTTATCACACAAGCAAGAGTACTTTCCTGACTAGCATGCGTGCAGGATCTCAAATGTGCTATTCATTTTATACAATAGTGCAGATCACTGCATTCCTGAATGAATCTATTTTTGAATGAATCTAGTGAGCCAATGATGCAATGATCCATTTATAAAGATAGTCACTTGCTTCATTTCTAATTGCTTCAATTTGAACAAATACTTTGATTTAATGATTCAATTCATCATTTATTAAAACAGGGACTTGCTATGGTTTTATTATCATATTTATTTATCCATGACAGGCTTTAATCAACAAATGTCAATCAAAAAAATAATTCCCTTTCAGGCCCCAGTAATTTGAAAATTACTTTCAAAGCATAGTTAATTTAATAAAGAATAAAACAATGTTTACACAATGATTACAAAATGTATCTAATTTTTAAAGTTAGCTACAGGACCCCCGGCCCCACCAAAGAAACACTTGACCACACCATCCCCCCTGATTTTTTTTTTTTTTTTGTACAATTCAATCACTGCTTATAAAAGTGTTACATTTATAATTACTGTTCCCTGCCTCCAGTTCACTCAATTTTGAAACATGATGAAAACGAGATGAAACATCACATGGAGTGCGTTGCATTATGGGAAACAGTATCCCATGCAGTGTCTTCAGATGCATGCATCAGATTTCAGCAAATGTAGTAAGTAATGCAGAAACTTCATGTGTACAGAAAATTCACATTCTATTCGCAGTATGCACATAGCATACTGCAATATAGCAGTTGTATGGTAGTATGCCATTCCCAACACAGCTTCTATTCTGAGTTCAGTGTACTTTAGTTATATTTAGCAGATTCGGGCAAATATAGTAGGTCATCCAGGTATTCCATGCAAACAGAACATTTGCATACTATGTACAGTATACATACTGAGTAGTGTAATAGTATGCAGATTTGAACACAACATAACATTTTAATTCGGAGGAATCAATACATGGAATTGAGTGACAACTCCACCAAAAGCCTTATGGTGAAATATAAAGAGATGAAGGATGCAAATAAAAGTAAAAGAATAGCCAAGAAGATGACAATCAGATGTAGCCCACATTTTTTCTTGTCATACTCTTTAACAAAGAACATAAACAGGGTCTCACATTTCCATGACTTTTCACATGTTTCTGTAATTGTGATGGTAAACAAATGTTTTTATTTCACTGACAACTGAATTGTCTTCCAGAATGAATGCGCAGATTATTGTAGAAATTACTCCTTTTTCTAAACCTCTTGTCACTCTTAACAGGAATTTCTTCCCAGAATGAGTTTGCAAATGCCATTTCAGGTTTTGACGTGAAACTCTTCTCACACTCAAGACACTAAAGACACTCCAGTGTGAACTCTCATGTGAAGCTGAAGGGTTATTTTCTGACTGAAACTCTTTCCACACTGTTCGCAGGTGAAAGGTTTCTCTCCAGTGTGAATTCTCAAGTGAGCCTTGAGGTGTCCTCCTTTTGAGAAACTCTTTCCGCAGTGATGGCACATGAAAGGCTTTTTTCCGATGTGAATTTTAACATGATTCTTAAGATGATTTGTGTCTGTGAAACTCCTTTTGCACTGATGACATTTAAAACTCTTCTCTCTTGAGTGAATCTTCATGTGATTGTTAAGGTTTACATTATGTCTGAAACTCTTTCCACACTGATCACATGTGAATGGCTTCTCTCCAGTGTGAATCCGCATGTGAGTGTTTAGGTTTCCTTTAATCGTGAAACACTTTCCACACTGAGGGCAGGTGAAAGGCTTCTCTCCAATGTGAATTCTCATGTGGGTATTAAGGGTTCCCTTTTCAGTGAAACTCTTTCCACACTGAGAGCATATGTATGGTTTCTCTCCAGTGTGACTTCTTATGTGAGTCTTGAAGTTTTCTTTACGTGAGAAACTCTTTCCACACTGAGGGCAGGTGTAAGGCTTCTCTCCATTGTGAATTCTCATGTGGACATATAGGTTTTTTTTCAGTGTAAAACTCTTTCCACACTGATCACATTCAAATGGCTTCTCTTCACTGTGAGTGCTCATGTGAGTCTTAAGATCTCCATTTCGTGTGAAACTGTTCCCACACAGTTTGCAGGTGTAAGGTCTCTCTCCAGTGTGAGTTCTCATGTGGGAATTAAGGGTTCTTTTCTGTGTAAAACTCTTTCCACACTGAGGGCATATCAACAGGTTCTTTTCAATGTGAGTTTTCATGTGGACTTTAAGGCTTTCTTTTCCATTGTAAATTTCTCCACACTGTTGGCAGGTGTACGGTCTCTCTCCAGTATGAATTTTCATGTGGGAATTAAGGTTTGTAGCGTGTGTTTTTGTGTTTTTTGGTGATGAAGTCTTTTCATGTGAGCAACTACTTGGTTTTTCTTCAGTTTGAAAATCATGCTCATGATCATTTTGATCTTTCTCTTCCGTTTCATTCAGAATCTCCTCTTTCAATGCCATCAGGTCTGAGGTGAAAAGAGACAAATACAAGTTAACACCAGTTTAAAGGCATAAAGCAACAGGCATCAAAACATTTAGACATGAAAAGCATCAATTCAGACACGTGCTGGATCCTATACATTCTAATCTACTGAAAATGGTATAATCTGTCATTTCAGAACCTCTTGTCAATATTGTTAATTCTTTGTTTTCTTTAGGACCCCGTTTCCATTCTTTAGGACCTCCACCCTCTTGATGGAGGGATGTACCATTACATTGTTTTCCACAATCACATATCTGGTTGTTGCATTCACAAATTGTTTTGTTGTTAATCATAGCCTTCTTTCACCTTATTGCAGGGTCAACAAATAAGCTTTAGCTGGTTTAAAATTCAGCAGCTAGAGCAGAGGTGCCCAAACTTTTTCCTATGAAGGGCCAAAAATCAAACTTGATTTAGGGCGGTGGGCCAAAAATAAACATCGCATGATACCAAACTCTATTATATGAAAATTAAAGTTTGCAAGATTCATATAATATTTAAAAATGAATAAATAAAAAGAAAACATTACTCTGTAATCTGCTTAACTAATGCAGTTTTATTTTCAAAGTTTTATAGTTAAATTAAACTTATAGTACAATGAAAACAATCCCATTTATAGTACGAGTGAGTTCAATGTCTAATACAGCTATTCAAGATAAAAGCAATAGCCATATGCTTGCAAAAACAGTGACCTCTAATGAGAAAATCAAATGTTTTCCAAATTGGGCTGCAGCTGACTGACTGACAAATATACAGAATATTATGTAGGTGATAGTTAGTTAGTTCGCTTCTTATTTTACACTTGTTCAAATTCAAATTCAAGGCCCAATCCCAATTCTACCCCTTAGCCCTTCCCCTTTTTGGTTGGTGGGGTAGGGGGAAGGGGTATAAAATAGAATTGGGATTGGGCCTAAGTGTGCTCACAGAGGTAGGTAGTGCCAAACACACACAATATCACTTGTGCCTGTTTGCACAGGACTTTCATCAGGAAACTTTGCTGGCAGTGATTTTGAGTGGATCAATATTAACTCTATATCATTATTATATTATACTATATAAAGAGACTTTCCAAAAATACTGTTATTGAGTAGTCATCATTAAACCGTTGCGTTCATTCAGCTAACACGCTTAAAATCACTGATTCATTTATGAATGAAACTAGGTGCTGAAATTAATTTGAGTGCCACTTTATAAGGCCCAATCAACGTACGTGTCACCTGAGTAACGCTAAAGCAGATGTTTCATTGCATAGAGATCAATCGCATTGATTTGATTCAATGCACTGAACAGCGCTGAGGCCAGTCATGGGAAATCCCATTAAATGCTGAAAGGATACTCTGACAAAGATATTGCTTTCATCCTCTGACATCTGATGGCAAACTCTTTCACAAATATATGACTTGACCTGAAGAAGGACAGATGCAGGCAAGCGTACACACTCAGATCCTCGTCTCTGTGTGTGTGTGGAGGAGCTTACTGAGCTCATAGTAATAATTGCGACAGGCCAAGCGTCAATGTTATTTCCCCCCTCCCTCATCTCCTATATGGCATGTCGGGCCAAATTAAAGGTCACCACGGGCCAACTTTGGCCCGCAGGCCCTAGTTTGGGCACCTGTGAGCTAGAGCACTTACTAGTCACACTGACCACTGTCTGCATCATCTTATTCTCTGTGCAGTCAGTGCTCAGACTAAGCAGTTACTGGCCACAGCATTTGCCAAATTTAATCTGAAAAGAAAGACACTTCAGCAACGCCAATTCTCTCTACACGCAAACTACGCAAGTTGCGTACGACCCTCGAACCATTTCAGCTGAGCAATTAATAGAATTTTACTTTCGTTTTTTATTTTGGCTTCCCACGATTATGAAAACACATTGTCATTTAAAGCGGTGCACTCTCAACCTTCCTTCCTACGAGTTTGTATTGTATTGTATTCCCCAGGTGGCTTTCCGTGCGCAAGATCTGAGACAGTGTGAGAAGCAGACGAATATAGGCTACTGCTCTGGATTTGCAAAAGCACAAAAATATGTAAAAATGTCAGTCTTGTGGAGTTTTCACTTAAATGCAGTCAGTCATGTCTTCAGTGAACATGAACAGTTGGTAAAGTAATTGAATGCTTGTCAGTATATTAGATCTGTGCATTCAGTCTTAAAGTGACAGCAGCCTAATGCTGCTTAATCAAACAACAAATGAAAATGAGAGAATCAATCAGTTCACTTCACTGTTTATTTCATTTGTATTTATAGTTGTATTGTATTTGTCCAATTGTTTGTCATTATATTGTATTACCAGCTGTTTCAACTCGTTGTTTGTTGAGAGTGAAACTGCTCTGAACAGATTAAGGGGCCGGGGTCATTTTTGTGTTTTTATGAACAGACTGACGGGCCCCCCGACAAAGTTTTGCTTAAGGCCCCCAGAAATCTAAGACCTGCACTGCATCTATGTGGACAAATGCATTCTGACATGACTTTCAATCAAGTTTTTGATGAAACCATTCAATATGGATTATAAATACATGGTATTACTGTTACAGTAAAACGTCCTATAAAGCTGTTTTGAAACAATGTGTATTGTGAAAAGACATATACACATAAATATGACTTTACTTGGCATCAAACAACTATTTTAAATCGATGTGCTAAAGTTTAATTCTGTGTTCCCTTTCATGGGAACTTCGAACTGCGTCCTCTAGGGGTCGCTATGGGGAATGCCTCGTCGTGATAGTTACCTGACATGTATGGTTATGTTGCGATCCACAAATTTTACTCCCTGTTCAAAAAATCCTGATTCAGGTCATCAGCTCATTACTAAAGACGAAATTGGTGTGGGACATGTAAAATGTACACTATTGGCATATTCCAGGACAACGTTCAGCTTCATAATTTTATTTCCCCTCCGTCTTGTGGACGTGGATGTACGTCATTGCTCACTTTGAGCGAGTGAACAATACTGGTGAAACATTTCAATGGAAAAACCTGTCTTATTACTTGCCAACTTTCCCTTATAAGTTTGGATAAAAAGTTTATGCAGCATTCTATAAGCCTATATATATGAATAATCATTTATGGAAAATAGGGCTGCACGATAAATCGCATGCTATATTTAATGCGCATTAAATATTGCATGCGATTTATCGTGCAGCCCTAATGGAAAACATAAAAAATACACAAAATGAAAATTAAATTATATATAACCAACGTGAACAAAGAACGCTCTTTATGATCACTGTGATTGAGCAAGTGTATTATTTTATATTATTACACGGCTCTGTGGAATACTTGATTCTGATTGGTCAGTCGCGACATTCCGAGGTATGTTATCCCTCGATAACAACCAGTAAAACTAATAACACAGGCTCATCCAGCTAACTGAAGTCGGCGCTATACTCTTGCCAGGAACAGTTTTTTTCTTGGTGGAAGCTTTGCGTTTTTTAGCTAATAAAACATTAAAACGCGATTCAAAATTGTGTATAATTATTTAATTATATCATCCTGGTATCGCAGACTCGCTCTCTCGTTTCATACAAACTGCAATGGATTATAAGATAACTAACAAACTGGTAAGATTTTAAATCATCTTCATCTTAAATCTTTTATCGCCATAATTATTTGTGTGGTGAAATGTTGTGTAATAAGTGGTTTGATGTCCGTCTAGTTTGAACTTCCCGCTTGCTTGCAACTGTTGTGTTCACGGAAGCTTTGCGTTCAAATATTTCAACTCAAATCAATATTTTGTGTATAATTAAAGTGACGTGACGTGACGTGACGTGACATGTGGTCCCATACTCGGAATTAGTGCTCTGCATTTATCCCATCCAAAGTGCACACACCATGAACACACACCCGGAGCAGTGGGCAGCCATTTATGCTGCGGCGCCCGGGGAGCAGTTGGGGGTTCGGTGCCTTGCTCAAGGGCACCTCAGTCGTGGTATTGAAGGTGGGAGAGAGCACTGTACATTCACTCCCCCCACTTACAATCCCTGCCGGTACGAGACTCGAACCTGCAAACTTTGGGTTACGAGTCCGACTCTCTAACCATTAGGCCACGACTTCCCCACAAATTATTTACTTATGAGGCAAGTAGCCGTGTAATAAGTGGTATAATGTACATCCAACAGGTTGTTATCGCAGAATAAACCTCTTCAGGGTGATACAAGAACCCTCCACTTCGCGTCAGGGTCCTGATCACCCTGTCGGGGGTTATTCTGCGATAACAACCTGCTGGGTGTACATTATCCCTTATTTGTAATATAATAGATCAGGAAACTAGATGAGTAAATGAGTGAAATAAACCCTGCATGTGAGTTGAAATTCTATTAATTTGTGCTTATAGGTGAAAATAATTCTGATGTAAAAAGAAATATCAAATGACAATAATAGTGATCAATAATCAGGACTGCAATTTTGAGCAAAATAATTGTGACTATCAGCTTAACCATTATGTTGAACTATTTATAAATCTTCATTGAATAAAAATTCCAGACTTATAGTCAAATAAAACTTGACTAAACAACAACAAAAAATAAAAAAATAAAACTAAACTAGAGTTCATGTAGTTAATATTAATGTAACTGTCAGTGTAAAAGGAAACACGGGACATCTGACCTCCAACTTGAAATGAGTTTGACACCCCTGAGTTATAAGTAACAAGCAGCATCAAATATGAGCTGGTCTCAGTCTCTGTAAAAATCCACCAAAATCCACCACGTGTGCTGCTACATGAGTTCAGGAGACGAAACTCTCATCCTAGATCAACTTCTGATCATACATTTACTACTGAGCTTGATAGAAGATGTGAGTCGCAACAGATGTTTTCTTTAGTGCACTACTGAGGTCTTTGATATCAACTGTTTGTGTCGCTCAAATATGAAGAGTTTGATTTTATTATGCTGCAGTTCATTATAAAGTTACTGGTCACTGACTGTATTATTTGCTCACCAAAGATCTTTAAATGAAGAACAAAGATAAACAGCATGCAGTGACTC